GTGCTTTCGAACTGCTAGGTTGGCAGGAGCAGGGACCGAGCAACGGGAGTGTCCCCCCCCCGTCGCGGGAATTCGAACCGCCGACCTTCTGATCGACAAGCCCTAGGCTCTGTGGTTTAACCCACAGCGCCACCCGCCACTGGCTAGGACGCCTGGAGCCAAACCCTAGGCTGTCTCACTTTAACTCCTGGATAGCTCAGTTGGTTAGTGCATCGTGGTGATAATGCGAGTTCAATCCCCATATGGGACAGGTGTATTATTCTTGCATTGCGGGAGGTTGGATTCGATGATCCTTGGGGTCCCTTCCTATGAATCCTTTTACAAATATTGTTGTTGTTTAGTTGTGTCCGACTCTTCGTGACCCCTGGACCAGAGCACGCCAGGCACTCCTGTCTTCCACTGCCTCCCGCAGTTTGGTCAAACTCATGCTGGTAGCTTCAAGAACACTGTCCAACCACCTCGTCCTCTGTCGTCCCCTTCTCCTTGTGCCCTCCATCTTTCCCAACATCAGGGTCTTTTCCAGGGAGTCTTCTCTTCTCATGAGGTGGCCAAAGTATTGGAGTCTCAGCTTCAGGATCTGTCCTTCCAGTGAGCACTAAGGGCTGATTTCCCTAAGAATGGAGAGGTTTGATCTTGCAGTCCATGGGACTCTCAAGAGTCTCCTCCAGCACCAGAATTCAAAAGCATCCATTCTTCGGCGATCAGCCTTCTTTATGGTCCAGCTCTCACTTTCATACATCACTACTGGGAAAACCATAGCTTGAGCTATATGGACCTTTGTTGGCAAATATACGAACGCAATAACTCCAACTCATAAGAGCATGGGGAAAGAAACCACCAGTGACCTAGAACAGTCTCAAGCTGGGTGCTCCTGGAAGAATCTGGGGTGCCCCTCCTTCAGGAGCTATTAGGGTAGTTGGGTGAACACAACCACCCTGAACTTTCCGGATCCAACTTTTCCTGAGAGCAGATGAAGACCAGCACTTGAATGTGAAGATTGGGGGCTGTTGCTCTCCGTGGTGCTGAATAATCTCCTTCCTTTGCACTGATAGACTATATGCATTCCCCACCCCCCACCCCGGGATACAGTCTGTTTGCACTACTGCCTTCTGGCAGGAGGTATAGAAACATCAAGTCAAGGACAAATAGACTGAAAAACAGTTTCTATCCAAGAGCTGTGGCCTTTTTGAATGCTGTAACTCGATAGGGAGACCTGGGAGTTTGATGGGTGTTGGTGTGGGTGTGGCTGGAAGGTGGTTTGTTTGGTTGTTGTTGTTGTTTTGCTTTTGTTGTTTTTAAGGGATGGCATCCAATTTCGTTGCACTTGTGCAATGTTGCACTTGTGTAATGACAATAAAGAATCTATCTATCTATCTATCTAAATAAGGTTGTGGCGGGGAGAGTTCATAAATACATAAATAAGGAGGGGTGGAGTTTGTGGAATTAATGGCAGGCAGGTGAGTTAGGACTTCAGTCTTTAGGAAAGCATAGAAAACCACGATGGTGCCTTCCTTGTAGAGCTTTCATCAGATTCTGAAGGTGAATCTCTTTACCGTGGTAAAGAGGTATATTTGCAGGTTTTAAATTGCAAATTGTTTTAACTGATTTGAATATTATTATTATTATATTGTTGTAACCCACTCTGGGCCTCGGCCCAGCCGTTGCGTAGCGTGGGGGGTGCAGGGGGGGCCGGGCGCACCAGGCGCAACATCTGGGGTTAGGGCAAATCCACAGCTTAGGGGGCGCAAATCCACGGGTTAGGGGGCGCAAATTACTTGCCTTGCCCTCGGTGCTGACGTAATTTGTTGATTACAGTTGCTCTTCAAATAATTCCTATACTTCTTCCAAACTTCTGTAAATCTCTGGTCCCGCAGGTTTCAAATCCTTCCTGTCATTTTGTCCAATTCTGCATAGTCCATTCATTTCGTCTGCCATTCTTCTTTCGTCGGAATTTCTTCTTGCTTCCATTTCCGGGCTAACAATACTCTTGCCGCTGTTGTTGCATATAAGAACAATTTGTCTATTAATGTCTTGGCCTCTGCGCCAGATATTAGCTGCCCCTGCCTTGCCCCAAATGACAAGGTTTTAGTCCACTACCCAAAATTCTAGACGAACCACGTGGAGGTTTCGATTCATTTTTGATTCATTGGTTGCGTTTCTGTGTTGCTTCTCGCTCACACACGTCCCAAAGAGTCTTACAAACAATCAGGACAACGTAATCGAACATCACAATCGCATCATAGATCGTAGGGAATCATCTACAAATCATCAGCGAAACAACCGCCTTCTATAAAACGCTATTAATGAAACAACTAAAAAAAATAATAATAAGCTAAGCGGCAGAGCCACAACAAAAAGCATATTGTAAGAGTCCCTAAGGGGATGCGGGTGGCGCTGTGGGTTAAACCACAGAGCCTAGGACTTGCCGATCAGATGGTCGGCGGTTCGAATCCCTGCGACGGGGTGAGCTCCCGTTGTTCGGTACCTGCTCCTGCCAACCTAGCAGTTCGAAAGCACGTCATGTGCAAGTAAATAAATAGGTACCGCTCCAGCGGGAACGTAAATGGCGTTTCCGTGCGCTGCTCTGGTTCGCCAGAAGTGGCTTAGTCATGCTGGCCGCATGACCCGGAAGCTGTCTGCAGACAAACGCCGGCACCCTCGGCCAATAAAGCGAGATGAGCACCGCAACTCCAGAGTCGGTCACGACTGGACCTAATGGTCAGGGGTCCCTTTACCGTTACCTTTAAGAGTCCCAAAGCAATCCTCATAATCCACAAGAGAATATTAATATTAAGACAGCACCAATCCGGCAACCCAGAACAAACTAAGCGCTACGGCATGTGAATTTTAAAATAAATAAATAAATTCCAGAGGTGGAGCCCTGATTGCAGCGGGATTAAATCTCTTTGGTGGTGCCCTCCAGCTGCCAGGTGGTTTGCGTGGTTTTCTGAATATTTTGAAATCGCGAATTTGCCTCGATGTCGCAGATCAATTCCAATCCACCGAAATTTAGTTAACAGTGTTAAAAGGAAGATGCCAAGATTAGTTTGCAAGTTGCATGAATATCTCAAAAGTCCGCCCACACTCCCCCAATAGCTAAGAAGTGGTTGGGCTGAAATATTTGACGGTTGGGGGAAATCAATGAAGTAAGCTTTAATGTAGTTTAAATGTTATATGCAAGCAAATACTAATTTTAGCCTGTCCAAAGATCTGTGCATAAGAGAGATGCATGCTTCATAAAGAGCAGTTGGCTTGCAGAAGGTAATCACAGCTTTGGGATGGCTCAGTTCAATCTATAGCATTTACTCCTGTGTTTATTTTTTAAAAATAGTTTTCATTTGATTTTTCAAATATAGATTCATAACAAAACCAAATACATCTCCCTATACAGAGATTTCTCTGAATCTCGAGACCTCCCCCCCCCATGTCAGCGTTTTCAACCGCATATTATATCAAATCTATATTTTTATATCCATCCATATTTGTTGGATTTGTTACATTTGAGTTTGTTACATTACAAGTGAGATTAAAATCCTGCTCATGTTTTCATCTGCTTACAGTGGTCTCTTAAATTATAATTGTCTCCCATTCTTTCTTGAAGTTTTTCTCTTCTTGGTTCCTGAGTTTTCCAGTCAGTTTTTGCCATTTTGGCATAATCCAGCAGCTTAGTTTGCCATATACTTCTTCCCATCGCTTACTTCCGTGTTTTAACTCTGTGGTCCCTCTGCCATTCTGCTAAGGTAGCCTTGCAGCCTGTGGAACCTAAGCAGTTTGAAGGCCCTATAGGTGGGAAAGCAGGAATATATATTAAGGTTACCAGATTTTTTTCAAAGAATCTGGGGACACTTTTTTTTGGGGGGGGGGGAGAGAAAAAAACGTTATTTAAAAATAATAATTAAAAAGTAATATCTTCTCTGCTGTGGTCTCCTCTGTTGTGCGGCCTTTCTCTGGGCCCTGGCCTGCTCTCTTGGAGCGCTAGCCACTGTGGAGTAGGCTCGGGTCAGGCCTGGGTTCGGCCATGTGTCCTTGCCCTCCCGGTGCTCTCCAACCTCTCCTCCTCAGAGGCGGTGGCGGCGCGGCAAGGTCGGGGCTCCCCTCTTTTTTCTCTTTCCTCTTTCTCTTCCTTCTCCTTCTCCTCTCCTCCTTCTCCCTGCATCGGCTCCAGGGTTTTCCTGGTCCTGGAGCGCCGCTGGGCAGTCGGCCGGGTGACTGGGCGCTCTCACTCCGAGCTCAATTTGGTTTGTGGGGGTGTGTGCCAGCAGTTCCCCCAGTTGGCGTGCCAGGCGTCCCCGGCAGCGGCAGCGGCAGCCTCAGCAGCCCAGAGCCAGCCTGGTAGCGCAGTTGGCTCTGGCTGGCTTCAGGAGCTGCTCGCTGCCATGGCGCCCACCATTTTGCCTCGCCGGAAGTCCCCATATGATGTGTCTTATGCCGTTGAACCCATCACACAACATTCATCCCTACTAATAAATCTGCAACACTTAAAATATAAATCCGGGGACATTCCGGGGACGGATGATAGATTTGTAAATCCAGGGACTGTCCCCGGGAAACGGGGACATCTGGTAACCATAATATATATAGGTAAAGGTAAAGGGACCCCTGACCATCAGGTCCAGTCTTGGCCGACTCTGGGGTTGCGGCGCTCATCTCGCTTTATTGGCCGAGGGAGCCGGCGTACAGCTTCCGGGTCATGTGGCCAGCATGACTAAGCCGCTTCTGGCGAACCAGAGCAGCGCAAGGAAACGCCGTTTACCTTCCTGCCAGAGCAGTACCTATTTATCTACTTGCACTGGTGTGCTTTCGAACTGCTAGGTTGGCAGGAGCAGGGACCGAACAACGGGAGCTCAGCCCTTTGCGGGGATTCGAACCGCCCACCTTCTGAGTCCTAGGCTCTGTGGTTTAACCCACAGCGCCACCCGTGTCCCTGTAATATATATACGTGTACATATAAATGAAACTTCAAACTCCTCCTCTTCTTCTCTCGTTTCCCCTCAACGCAGGCCAAGGTGATTGTTCCCAACAGCACCGCCGGGCTGATCATCGGCAAAGGCGGCGCCACGGTCAAGGCCATCATGGAGCAGTCTGGAGCCTGGGTGCAGCTGAGCCAGAAACCCGAGGGCATCAACCTCCAGGAACGCGTGGTGACCATCAGCGGCGAGCCCGAGCAGATCCACAAGGCGGTGGACATCATCGTGCAGAAGATCCAGGAGGACCCGCAGAGCAGCAGCTGCCTCAACATCAGCTACGCCAACATCGCTGGCCCCGTGGCCAACTCCAACCCAACCGGATCCCCTTACGCCAACTCCACGGACGTGCTGCCCGCCGCCGCGGCCGCAGCCACCGCTTCGGGCCTGCTGGGCCACACCAGCCTCGCCGGGGTGGGAGCGTTCCCGGCCGCTCTGCCGGGCTTCTCCGGCAGTGACCTTTTGGCCATCAGCACGGCTCTCAACACCTTGGCGAGCTACGGATACAACACCAGCTCTCTGGGGCTCGGCCTCAACTCAGCCGCCGCCTCCGGAGTGCTGGCTGCCGTGGCCGCCGGCGCGAATCCAGCCGCCGCCGCCGCCGCCAACCTCTTGGCTTCCTACGCCAACGAAGCGTCCACCAGTACCACCACCCCAGCCGGCGCCGTGGGGGCCTTCACGTTGGGTTCCCTAGCCGCTGCCACCGGGGCAGCCAATGGCTACTTGGGGACAGCCTCTCCACTGGTGGCCAGCTCCTTCTTGGCCACGGAGAAGCTGGTGGAAAGCGCCAAAGATATGGTGGAGATTGCCGTTCCGGAGAACCTAGTGGGCGCCATTTTGGGGAAAGGCGGCAAGACGTTGGTGGAATACCAGGAGCTGACGGGCGCCCGCATCCAGATTTCCAAAAAGGGGGAGTTTATCCCGGGTACTAGGAACCGTAAAGTCACCATCACAGGCACTCCGGCCGCTACGCAAGCGGCGCAGTATCTTATCAGCCAGCGAGTAACGTATGAGCAAGGAGTCCGAGCCACCAACCCGCAGAAAGTGGGATAAGAGAAGGCCGGAGGGAAGTCTGGGGGAAGGAGTAGAATTCAAGTCAATTCTTTAATCATTAAAATTGTAACCTAGCCAACACCAGCCCCAGTCCAGTGTCCATCTCTCTCTCTTACACACACACACACACACACACACACACACACACACACACACCCTTCTGCTTTGGAAGCAGCCCAGCAAATGTTTTCCTGGACCTTTATTTCGCCAATGGTGCAACCTGTTTGTGTGTGTGTGTATATATATACAGATATATACACATATATACACACATATATATGTATATATATATGGCGACATTTTCTTTTCTTTTTGAGTTGATATGGATTTTAATAGAAAAAAAACATTTTTTAAGAAAACAAGAAATTCCTCTTTCTTTCCCTCTTTCTTTCTGAGTTTCTTAACCAAGAATCCCGATGGGGGTGGGGTGGGGGAGAGATCTGTCTCGTCATGTTTCTTGCCCCCCCCCAGCTCCCCAAAGTGTAGATCAACTTCCGAATTCCTTGACGGGGAGTGGGCACCTTGTATCCCTCTTCCGGCCCCACGCAGAGCATCAATCTCTGTGGGTGCTCTGTAGACGGGGTTTTCAGAATATATAGCTCTATATCGAGGGAAGCAGAGATGGGGTTCATATCATGGCACAACGGTTCACAAAGTGACATCTGCCCCATGACCTTGAACTCTGAAATTGATGAGGCTCTATACCTAATACGCCTGCATTTCGTAGTGATGCTAAACATGGGTTTTTCTTACCTGTAGGTAGTGTGGCTCGTTCTAAGGTGAGGTTGAGGGGTTGGACTGGAATGGGCTCTGCGTTGGGCAAACGGGTTGGTTGAGTTGATAGGCTTTCCCCCCTTTGATTTTTGCTTTCTTGTTTTCGTCCGTTTGTTTGTTTTACAATTCTTCTATGCATAGTTTCATTTCGGAGGGGAGGGGAAGCGTGTACATCCTTTCCCCCCTGTTTATCAGCCCTACTAATCAGAAGAAACAAACAAACAAAAAAAGGCAAGGTAAATTTGTTCAGAAAGTTGTAGGTGAGGGTGTCTTTATCCCTGTTTATACTGAGGATAATTTTTGGTGAGCCGTGAGTCTTGACGGCGCTCTGAGCTTGTGAGCTTGCTCCTCCTGTGAATGGATGAGCGCCAGCGTTGTAAGAGGGGGCGAGACGAATGTAGAACGGGGTCAAAGTAGCAGGGCCTCGCTTCTGCGGATGCGGAAGTCGCACTCCCATCCCCGTGACAGGTGATTCAAGCTACTTTCTCCCTGGGTGTCGCGAGGCGGCGGCCTCCTTTGATGTGCTTGGCTACTTCCTGTTGTGGCGCCTCTCAGGAACCTCGATTTCTCAGCATCGGGGAGTGGCATTTCCTGTGAGGCTACAATACCCCACATAGGCAAGGCCTCTGTTTTCTTGCGTTCTGAGAGCAAGGAGAAGGGATCTTCCCTCGGTTTTTGGGAGCCAAAGTCTTGTTTTCTTTCCAAACGGCTGCAAAAGAAAACCACCCCAGCTTTCTCAACAAGTTCGCCGCCCTGTTTGATAAAAACCCAGGGGTCGGAACTAGGAAGAGAAGGGCCATTTTGACTCAGCCCTGGGTGCGGCTGTCCAGCCCGGTGTGATTGGCCGATCCCTCAAAGGTGGCACAACTTTCCCCCTCTGCCTACACAGTGGAAGCCCGAGGGCCTCCTGAGATGCGTGGAGACAGATGCCATTGCCAGTATTAGCTCTCTTGAGCAGCAGCTGGAGGAGAGCCAGTGTGGTGTAGTGGTTAAGAGCGATAGACTCGTAATCTGGTGAACCAGGTTCGATTCCCCGCTCCTCCACATGCAGCTGCTGGGTGACCTTGGGCCAGTCACACTTCTCTGAAGTCTCTCAGCCCCACTCACCTCACAGAGTGTTTGTTGTGGGGGAGGAAGGGAAAGGAGAATGTTAGCCGCTTTGAGACTCCTTCGGGTAGTGATAAAGCGGGATATCAAATCCAAACTCTTCTTCTTCTTCCGAAATAAACTATATGTCAACAAGGGGGCTGTTGAAGGCCTCTTTGGACCCCCCGCCCAATTGCAGCTTCCCTTCGACCCACTGCCCCTCCCGCTGGCCTTTCTATAACCAGTATTCCCAGCAGTGAGAAGGGCCTTTATTCCCAGTGACTGGGCCCGGTAGGGAACCCAGTTCCCTGCCACTTCCTGTTTCCGGCGCCCTTGGGACGGTGACAGATGCCGGGCTTGAAACCCGAGAAATGTTGGGGTACGGTTGGCTGCAGCGGCAGCGCGACTCCCCCTTTCTGGGCCCTCATCCCCCCCCCCCACAACCTGAGTGGCGGCTTTTAGTTTGGTAGCCCAAGCACAGGGCTTTCTCTGTGTTGCTCTGGCCTCTTATCCCTCCATGTTTGCCGGCCACTGAAGGTTCAGTTTCCCACCCATTCACTCGCCCTCAGAAGGGCAATAAATAAATCAGGGTTATCTCCCTGCTATGTTTACATATAGGGCTCGCTGCAACCTCTTTAACTCCCGGAGAGGCTGTGACCCTATCTGCTTTTTGAAGGTGCCAGCATTTTAAATAGGAACATCCCTCACCCGGCTTCTGTGTCGTGTGTGTGTCTGTGTCATACTCCCTTGTGGGAACCTTAGGAAGAGCCCAGGGTTTGCCAGAAGGCTGAACGAAACCTGAAGCATACGCGGTGCAATGTCAAACACTGGGTTGCATCAGGCTTTGTCTTTCTTTCTTTCTTTCTTTCTTTCTTTCTTTCTTTCTTTCTTTCTTTCTTTCTTTCTTTCTGTTTTCGATTAAAAGGTTGCTTGGAAGTTATGTTTGACGGGGGTAGGGTTCCTGCTGCCGGTTGCTCTGGCAGCGTGGCTGTTTCCCTGTCCCAGAACAGGACGACTTCCCGCGTCCAGTTCTCAAAATGTGAAGTGGATGTCTACCTCGTCACCCGGACCTCACCGCGATGCGGCGTACCTGTGGCACGGCGCACGACTTCCTTTCCGAGCCGCGCAAGGCGCGAGCAATCTTGCAGCCATCATGGCTAGCCTGTGGCACGGGTACTATCTGAGGGTGACCTGACTTGAGCATCTCTGCGTACATTGGCTTGTTTGTCGTAAGGTTGGCGGCAGGAGATTTCTGTGCAGCCGAATTTGAGGGGAAGAATCCCGTTTGGAACGGCTGAGACGTTTCGAATTGGGTCAGGAGCCAACTGGGGCATATTGGTGAAGAATCGGGGTGGGAGCGGGGACGAGCGAGAGCAATGATTGCGCCGTCTAACCTTCTGGCGGCTTCTCAATGCGCTCGTAGCTTTTGTTAGCACAAATATTATCTCTTGCAGCCTAGACGTGCAACTCTCCTCCTGACCGCAGCTTTGAGGTGTGGACTTGTGCAATATTTCGCCCCCTGCTAGGAGGGAAACACTTCCTCCCTGGTTTTTTCTGAAGCACGGGGTAAAGTTGGGAGTCGGAGCGGTTGGGAGACTTCTGCACTTTTCTCCACTTTCTCTAGGCACCTAGGTGATTTTGCTCAAGGGACAGGCGAGGCCGGCGCTGGGGCCTACTCTGGCCGAGAGATGGGCCCTGATCTGGGGAGGCAGGGGACTCGTTGCTTATTAAGTCTCAGTTCTGTTTTCCTTCTTAGATTGAAAGGAGGGTCTTAAGGCTCTGAAACCACTAGGGAGCAAAAAAACACAAAAACTCAAAATGTGAAACTTAAATACTAAAAAAAAAAATAAAAATAAGGAAGCAATATCTATATAGCATCTTGCACTGATTTTATGGAGCGAGGGAGAGCTGCCACAGCCAGCGTATTATCCGAGAAAGATTTTGCCAGTCAGTGAAAGAAATGGCCAGTGACCTAATGCTTCTATTGACACTGGCTGAGATTCCGGGCCGCCTGGGTGGTTATTTTTCTTCTTAAACGATGAACAAAATATTGCTGCTGTTTTGCAAGTGTGTTGCATATCGAGACTTTTTGTCGGGTGGGGGCGGGGGCGGGGAGGAAGACGAGGAAATGTTTTTGTGCCAAACTCTTAGTCTGCGTCTTTTTTAATACTATGGATGTGTAAGACAAAAAGGGAAACCCCTGCCCCAGCACCCCTATCGTCCCAATGCTGCAGATATTTTGACAGTGTATTCCGAGGCTGTGATTTCTACTCCTTCCTGCTGTTTCTCCCCCTCCTCTCCCGCCCCTCCCTTCTACTATGGGATCTCATGAGCACTTTCATTATCCAAATTCCGTGCCAAGGAAACCCCAATTCCGCAACAGAGAAAATGTGGATTCCGCAACCTGGGTGAATTATGCTCATGAGTGAGGCCAGTTTGCATATTTTCTCATATGCTTCCCCATTTTTTGCAGAATGCCTCCGACTTCTGCTAGCGAAGGGGAGGGGCAGGACGTTTTGCACTAAAGCACCCCCACCCCCAGCCTGGGAAGCTTCCTCAAACTTCTCCGCTGCTCAGAAGCTTTCAATTGTATTTTTGAAGCCATGTGGATCAAAAAGCCCCTTCCCCCTTTCCCCCCCTTTCCTTTTCCTAAACGGAAACTGAGATTAAGGAGCTGTGGCCAGCATTTTATTTCCATCCAGGAGTGCCAGTATGGCCCCACGATCGTGGCTGCCCGGGGCCACGGGTGCCACGCAGTGTGCATGGCCCTGGCACTGAAATTTGTGGGTGCCCAGGAATTCTGTGGGTGCTTGGGCACCTAGGGAATTGTTCCCATCTTTCTACAGAATTAAAATAACTTGAGAATCTCCCAGCAAGGACAGCAAACGCCCATCTTGGCTTGTGACTGAGTTGCCCACATCGCCAAGCGAGTTGCAGAATTTTTGTTGCACCTCGGGAGACGCGGAATACAGTCCCGTCTCTGCTCTCTGAAATTGTGGAATGCAGTCCGGTCTACAGTAATCTGGATTGCAGAATTACCTGCTGCAGATTGTTATGATTCTCATTGACATTGTCTGAGGAATCAAGGCCTGCACTGTGCTAGGAGATCCATTGAGCCGAACCGTTTGGATTCCAGCACGGAGAACTCCTAGCACAAGATAAGGAATGGCCTGGAGGTTTCTATCTGCACCAGGCACTGGCTTTGATTGCAAAAAAGGCCGGCG